TCAGAACACGCACGTCAACTTTTGTCAAATCTAAGTTGCAAGCCAGCCTCGAAACCCAGTTTCCAGGCAGAAAATGTGAGGAAACAGATGTATTAGTTGCAATGTGTTCTTATTCCTGAGTTGTTTCACTGTGTAACCAGAACAGAGTACTTAGCTATGTGCTGACCACACAGTCCACGTCTCCTACTTTTTTGTGAGTCCTGATTCAGCCTGGAGATTGAACGGAGAGCAAATCCCCTAACACCATTGTCTTTCACCAGGTGACCATGCAGGGTATCCAACAGGTGGGGCCCAATTAGTTTTGCTGACCCCTCTTGCTTCCAGTGTCACAAATGTTACTGTGGTCTAGCTGTTGGATCATGCATGGCGATGACGCAGGGCTCTTTTTGTAGAAAAAGCCCAGCAGGAACTCATTAGCATAATAGGCCACACCCAACCACAGAAACTCATTAGCCTATTAGGCCACACCCCTGACAGCACTGCTCATTAGCACATTAGGCCGCACCCCCATGTTACCAGAAGTGTGGTTATCCAGCCACACCCACCTTTTGCTTCTTATTCTGTTTACCTTGTCTGTTGTCAAAACCCAGGGCTTTTTTGTAGCAGGAACTCCTTGGCATGTTAGGCCACACACCCCTAATGTAGCCAATCCGAATGAGTTTCTGCTGTTGGGTGTGGCCTATTATGCTAATGAGTTCCTGCTGGGCGTGGCCAACTTGGGAGCTAGCCGGAACTCCGTTCCTGTGCGTTCCTGCCCAAAAATAGCCCTGCGATGAGCAATCTGGGTATCCCATTATCTTTCATGATACTTGCCAGTGTTTCCATGGCACATTTTTTAGATGACATGCTGCTTGTCAGATCCCCGCAGCAATCAGTTCCCAACAACTTCCATTCAGAAGAGTAAAGTTTATTGAGTACAGGGCACACCTGGCGGTCATAAAATACTGGAAAAACAACACACCTCTGAGCTCCAACTCTGCAAGCCACCAATCAGACAACCTCCATTTTGATAGAGACCCTACTCGTTCTAACTTTCTTAATACCATTATCCAAAGATACACCATTCCGGATGACCTTCTCAGGACCTCAGCTGAGAATTCACAACTTAGGGACTGGATATACGAGGCTGATGCACTGATCGATCGTTCTTTAATTCTGAAATCTAAAGTGGCTCCCTGGTACAAATATTGCAAATTTGACCACCGCAGGTCGAGTTATCTAGTCAATATCTCTAACTATAACCTCAGAGTGTCCTTTACAGCTTTACGATTCCAAACAGCTCTTTTGGCTGGCCATTATTCGCATACTCCAAAAGAGCTATGCATCTGCATTTGTGGCTTGCCAGAGGTGGAGGATCTTCCTCACTACATGCTCTACTGTCTGCTTTACAGCACTCCAAGAGAGAAATTTTTACCAGGAATTCTATCGGTTATGCAAGCATACCCACAAACTGAGGAGATTGCGTCCTTGCTTTTAGATAATGATGCTTATCTATCCTATAGAGTTTCTCTGTTTGCTTTAGCAGCATCTAAGATTAGATCTAAGGGGCAGGCTACCTGACGGTGCGGTGGCTCAAGTGGCTCAAGGGGTTAAGATGCTGAACTGCAGGCTGTGGAAGGTCAGTAGTTCAGCAGTTTGAGACCCGAGTTGCCGCATGATGAAGTGAGCTCCCATCTCTAGTCAAGAAATTGCAAGTAGATAAATAGGTACCACTTTGGTGGGAAGGGAACAGCGTTCCGTGCGCCTTGGTGTTTAGTCACATGACCATGGAAACGTCTTCAGACAGTGCTGGCTCTTCGGCTTGGAAACGGAGATGAGCACCGCAACCCTAGAGTCGGACTCGACTGGCTTTCGAACAAGGGAACCTTTACCTTTACCTGATGGTAATTAAACCCATTTTATCTTCTTTTTATTACTGACTAGTAGTTAATTTTAACCCGGATATTAACGGTGCTTTTTAACTTTTACGATTGCTCTGTTGTATTCTGTATTTTGTAATGGCCACTGGCTCAATACAATAAACCACTTTGGACTTTGGAGTACATGTGCATACATCCTGTGTTAGAACTACTGGAAAGCACCCCCAGCGGGGAGTTATACACAACTCAAAGGGGTCCCTTGATGGCCCAGGTCCAATTAGAGCACAAGCAAAAGCCCGCCTAACCTAACAGGTCTACCTTCTCAGGGGAAAGCTGTAACAAGGTACCAAGGTCACTGGCTGAGACTACGTAGATAAGAAGAGCATAGAAGAAATGAAACTTAAGATTCCAGTACAGAGGCAGAGCAACATCTCTGTCCTCCCACCAGCCATGGCAGCAATGCCAGAGGCTCAGCTGACACTGCTTCACCAACACCCCAGGAAACTGTGGTTTGTGTCCTACCACTCTGCTCATCTAAGTTTTGAAGACTTCCTCCACCCTAAGGAGCCTTCCTCCAAGGGAAGAGACTCTGAGCTGGGGAAGATACAATGCAGGATTGCCGACTCCAGGTTGGGAAATACCTGGAGATTTGGGGGGGTGGAGCCTGAGAAGGCCAGGCGGAGTTATACACAATTCAAAGGGGTCCCTTGATGACCCAGGTCCAATTAGGGCACAAGCAAAAGCCCGCCTAACCTAACAGGTCTACCTTCTCAGGGGAAAGCTGTAACAAGGTACCAAGGTCACTGGCTGAGGCTACATAGATAAGAAGAGCATAGAAGAAATGAAACGTAAGATTCCAGTACAGAGGCAGAGCAACATCTCTGCCCTCCCACCAGCCATGATGGCAGCAATGCCAGAGGCTCAGCTGACACTGCTTCACCAACACCCCAGGAAACTGTGGTTTGTGTCCTACCACTCTGCTCATCTAAGTTTTGAAGACTTCCTCCACCCTAAGGAGCCTTCCTCCAAGGGAAGAGACTCTGAGCTGGGGAAGATACAATGTAGGGTTGCTGACTCCAGGTTGGGAAATACCTGGAGATTTGGGGGGGTGGAGCCTGAGAAGGCCAGGCTTTGGGGTACAATGCCATAGAGTCCACCCTCCAAAGCGGCCATTTTCTCCAGGGGAACTGATCTCTCTTGTCTAGAGGTCAGTTGTACTCCAAGGAGATCACCAGCCACCACCTGGAGGTTGGCAACCCTAGATACACGCCTCTGGGGTAGGATGCAAGCCAATGGGCTTTTTGTAGGGGTGCTGTCAGCTATGCTGCCATAGGGGTGGGGAGGTTTATTTATTTTTATTTATTTATTTATTTACAGGTTGGTTGTCTTCTAATTGCCTTTGCATTCCTTCTGTGCTTCTTTGCTGCTACACCGCTTATCTCTAAGTATTGCAGGTGGAGATGTTGATGTCTGGTTTTCTTGGGAACCGTGGGAGAGTGTTTCGTTCCCAGCTTCAGCGCTAAACGGCCAAAGCTCTTTCTCCTGCACGCGGGAGGGTGGCTAATTGGCCAGGGCAGGGTGTGTGTGCATACGAATACCCTATATCCTATTATGCCCCATGGGCAGCTGTCATTCTTAACAGTGCCTATGTTAATGCATCTATAGCTCTTCAATAAAGTATTACCTTTCCTGAAAGTATGTACTACTGTTGGCTGTGGGTTCTGACAGGTGTTGTACGCACATTTTATGAACCACTTTGTACTCTGCCACTGCCTAACAGGTTTAACTTAGTAGGTGCTCTTAACGCTTCCATGGTGCATATGTTAAGTCACTTAAGTGCCTTTGATTATTCTAATCACAGTGACTGAAATCAATCATGAACATTATATTCAGATATTCAGTTTGGTTCATTGTTTAAAAGCATCCTGGGTAAAATGACTAAATGCTGACAGGCAATCATACTACAGTGACCTTGCTTTTTCTGGCCAGCTACAACTGCACATGTTTCTGATGTCAGTTAGCCTAGCTAGAATGAAGAACAGTAAGCACTCTGTAACCATATCAGTTATATAGATACAACATGCAACTTCATAGCTTCCGAAAGAAAAGTGTATTGTTCTGTTAGGAAAAGAAGAACTCTGCCTGGGAACA